CTTTACCCCTGTGGCCCAAAAGCTTATTCTGGTGACTTTGCAAACTGTATCACCTGTTCCCACCCCAGTTTGGGATGGGGTGCTCTCCGGGACAGGTTGAACCTGAATTAGTGAGTGTAAATGTATTGCCCACGGGTGAGTGGTGTAGGTTCATCCGTCTCCCACAGTGAGGTACACACAGACTGGGAGATCTCGGGTCTGTTCTTTGGCAGAGGGGGAAAGGAATAGAAACACCCCACTGCCTGCACTGAGTATTTGAATGTTAGGGTGCGGGCTCGTGCTCAGATCTGACTGTGTCCCTGTTTATCTGTTAAGAGTACGTGGAGACCGCAGCCTACAACAAACAGTACACCGAGAGGCAGCTCCGAGCTGGTGGGGGCTACATTCTGCAGGATTTCAATGAAGCCCAGGTAAGGGAAACATTGTTCCCCCCACCCGACCCCTCCCTGATCTCGGGGGAGGGGATCGGTAGACAACCAAAGGCAGTGAGCTCAAGATGAGATTGTTCTCAACAAGACTTGCATTTATATAGTGCCTTTCCCAATCTCGGGACATCCTGAAGCACTTTACAGCCAATGTAATGGTTCTGAAGTGTAGCTGCTGTTGTAGTGGCGGCTGCAAATTTGCGCACTGCAAGATCCCACAAACAGCAACGTGACGATGTTGTTGGAAGAGGGATAAATATTGGCCAGGACAGTTAGGGAGACTGCACCATGCCCTCCCTTCAGACAGAGGCTGGGGATCTGTTACAACTGAGAGAGAGGGAAGGCAGAGCCTTCTGATCTAACAATTAATCAGGTAGGAGCACTCCCTCAGGCCTGTTACTGTCTGTGTGAGCCTGGAGGATGGACTAGCTCCTCTGCAGTGGAGGCGATGGCCTAGTGGTATTATCACCGGACTGTAAATCCAGAGACCCAGATACTGTTCTGGGGATCAGAGTTTGAATCCTGCCACGGGAGATGGTGGAGTTTGAAATCCGTAAAATACCTGGAATTAAGAATCTAATGATGACCGTGAAGCTGTTGTCGATTGTTGGGAAAAATCCATCTGGTTCACTAATATCCTTTAGGGAAGGAAACTGCCATCCTTACCTGGTCTGGTCCACATGTGACTCCAGACCCACAGCAATGTGGTTGACTCTGAACTGCCCTCTGGGCAATAAATGCTGCCTAGCCAGCAACGCCCTCATCCCGTGAATGAATAAATTAAAAAAACAGATGACAGACTCCCTGACTCTGAGCTGTCTCTATCACAATGGACAGGCACACAGTGCTCAGTGAGAGCCTGCTACAGTTGCAGTATGCAATAACTGACATGTTATAGCAATCCCCGGGAGAGAGAGTGTGAGTGTGAGTGTGAGTGTGAGTGTGAGTGTGAGTGTGAGTG